AGCCGTCTTCATCCATATAATAATATTTAATTTCCAAAACTACTCAATGGTTTTGAACTAAAGTCCAGGTCTGCAAAAACATTTTCGCGCGAATTTAGCTTTGGTCCGCATAGGCTCAATATGGTCTATATAACCGTTACGTAATGTGTTACTCAGATGAGACTTTATCGTCGTTCTCAAAACTGATTCTTCTTTCAAAATATTGGCACACAACTTTGGTTGTAATATGCCACGTGTCAGAGGCTGCGACTTTAATTTTAATTCTTTGAAGCCGAAGCTCGTATAAATAATATTTAATAAATCAGTCCTTACCGCGAAGAAAACACAACACTTCACCATTACAAAAGACAACTGGTTGTCGCTGTTTAAGGAAACAATCGCTGTTGAAAATCATACAAATGCAGATTTCCTGATTTTTGTAGCAGCCAGGACCATTGGGTTTAAAAGGTTTGCTGAATATTTAATAAAATGCAGGAAGCATGATGTTTACGTGTTTAACCTGATAAATTATTGCTATATATTGTTTACAACAGATGAACATGGATTTGAAACAAAACGCGTTTTAAAAAAGTATAAGCCTGATCACATTCTCGTACCACATGTTTCTACTCTTGTTAATTTCGATTTAAATTTCAGTAATGAACCAATTGCATTGGATAAATAAAGCAGCTGGACTGTGAATCTAACCATTCCTGATGCCTGCGTTAGGAATGCGTGGAGCTTTGCCTCCTTTTCCGTATTTTTCCCGTATGGTGCTTTAGCACAGGGACCACTTTGCTCTCATATTGCTGCAGTTAATGATTCTGGAGATTTTTGGTCTTAAAGAGGTCGTGACACCTTAAGACAACTTTAAAAGGATTGAGAAACTTACCACTGATGGCGGCTGCGGGATTTTATCGAGAGACCTTCCCGAATACTAATCAGCTATACTGGTCGCTGGGTTTACATGCTCCATGACACGTGTGCCGACTATCTGTTTGCTTTTGCGTTTGATGGTCGCTGTGGTAGCGATTCATCTAGTAGGAAAGAATGTTGATAGTGACGTAATCGTGGGGCTTCCGCCGAACTTGGTCTTCATTCCGGCTAGAAACATGATCACCTTCCTCTTCCCCCCCACTGGTCAGTTAGTATTCGCTGTAGCAGTACCAGGACAAGGAAGGCCTTGGGGTAAATCCCGTTCTTCTGGCCTCGCAACTACCTTACAACGTTCACACATTACTGAATTCTGTTTCGTTTTTAATGTAACCCATTTGTTATATCCTCACAACTCTATGTTTAAAAGATGCGGGTAACCTATGATGCTCCTGTAACAGCTGTATTGGCGCTAGGTTCCATTGCATAACCCCCCCCCCCCGCAATAAAATTGAGCGATTCGGACATCATCTCTTAGTTCTGTCAGTCTGTCTGTCACGTCCGACTGAACGGATTTTCGTGAACTTTGGTGTGGACGTTATGCCATTGAAGACTACTTAAAACTGAACGTTCTGTCCGTGAACTATATGAACCATCAGTAGTCATACGAACAATTTGATATTCAATCCTATTATTAACGTTTAACCTCTCAACTGTGAAGAAAATATGACTATCATGGCTGGAAGTTCACTTTCCCATTCGTCCATCATATATATTAATATCTCCTTTTTAAAACAAGAGTGAAATGATGATGATGTCCTGATCCATTTTAAAAGTTTAGATCGCCTAAGAACATTCAGTTTAGCCCCCAGTACGAAATTTTATCTAAATCCGATTAGTGGTTACGGATGTGCATACATGACCTCCCATTATGCATTTGGCGCAGACAATGCAGAAGCGCTCAAGCAAAGTCCATTATTGTTAGTACGCAACTATTTTCAATTTTTACCATCTCCCAAAATCGACTCGTCTCAGACGACCGGGCAACCGAATTTTAAAGGTCATATATTAGCTATGCGCATGTTATCTGCAAGGAAATTATATCATGACAGAACCCTCGCATTATGCCTAATCGGCGGAGACCTACCTATAATATTATTCACTTTCTAAGCGGGATTCGAACCTGCTTCCCCTATGATCCGTGCTTCTCAGACTGTTCGGCCACGAGACTGTTTTTTTTCAGTGTTATTAACTATTTCATTCGTTCATTTGTTGTAAAAATCACGACGCGTCCCTTGTCATCTTCAAGATTCGAACACCGACCCCATCCTTGTGATGACTAAGTAGAGCTCCAAATTCAGCTCATGTGCATGCCATACGGTATCCAGTGCGCACGCTACAGAGCGTGTGCTGAGGCGCTGTCGACCTTGTGACCTGCCCCTTGCTTACTGCATGGCAGTTTAACTAGACGTATTGGGTTACTGCAGGTAATTTATATGAGAAACTCTGCAACATCCGGCTCGTACCTCTGCTAGTGGAACAGAAACATTCAGCAGCATCGGCAAAGTAGATGGCTGGGTAGATGGATGGGTGAGTGGGTTAACTAATAGATGGATGGGTGAGTGGTTCGACTGATGGATGGGTGAGTGGTTAGACTAATGGATGGATAGGTGAGTGGGTAGACTAATATATGGATGGGTGAGTGGTTAGACTAATAGATGGATGGGTGAGTGGGTTAACTAATAGATGGATGGGTGAGTGGTTCGACTGATGGATGGGTGAGTGGATAGACTAATGGATGGATAGGTGAGTGGGTAGACTAATATATGGATGGGTGAGTGGTTAGACTAATAGATGGATGGGTGAGTGGTTCGACTAATGGATGGGTGAGTAGTTGGACTAATAGATGGATGGGTGAGTGGGTAGACTAATATATGGATGGGTGAGTGGTTAGACTAATAGATGGATGGGTGAGTGGATAGACATATAGATGGCTGGGTGAATGGGTAGACATATAGATGGCTGGGTGAGTGGGTAGACTAATATATGGCTGGGTGAATGTTTCGACTAATAGATGGATGGGTGAGTGTAAAGACTAACAGATAGATAGGTGAGTGGAAAGGCGGATAGATGATGGGTGTGTGGATTTACAGATATATCGACCGACGATTGAATACACGAATAGATGGATGGGTGAGTTAGACAGGTAGAGTGATTGGTGAGTAGATGGATGGGTGGGTATGTGTAAATGGATGGATGAGCGGTTAGTTACATATATGTGTAAATGAATGGATGGATGTGTTAACAAATTGCATACGGATAATTAAGTCAATAAATTTTACTTCAATTGTGGCAATTTTATTGAATTAACCTAGTCATTATTTTTAAATATATCTAAAATGTTTTAAGTTTTTCATAAAATGCTTATCTGACTTTTCCAACTTGGACTATATTTGCATAGGATTTGAAATAGGTACCAGACTTGATATGCTATTAGAATGAATCTAAAAGATACAGAAGTGGATTCTGAGGACTGGATACTTCTAGCGAAGGATAGGGACCGGTGGCGAGCTCCTGTGAACACAGTAATGAACTTGTGGGTCTAATACAATGCGGGAAATTTCTTGACGATCTGAGCGACTATCAGTTTCTTTATAACGAAGGAGTTACTTAGTTACAAGGTCTGTATCCCAGAAGCTTTCACAAGTTCTATGTGACAACCTTCTCTGTTACGTATTGTTAACACGTATGACTATCTAGTTTGATATATGGCTGATAATTTCAACGCCGCCGAAAACTGACCCCTGGATTTAACAGAGCGATGTTGTGCATGTAAATTTGATGTTATATGAGAACAAGATAAGACATTGGCCACTTGTTTTATTATCTTTGTTTTGTTATTTTTCTGACGATGTAATTTCAAGATACTTTGTAGCAAAACTGTAATGCATTCTTTATCCTTTCTCTGAATGCGTGCGTGAACTGGAGTAAAGCTACCCTAACATGTAACTAGAAAGATAAGCTCTAGGATATTTTTAAGGAAACTGAAACCCGCCACTCGTCCAGCTCCTTAAAACAATTTTCAAAATACTTTCTACTCTGCACTTAGATTTCAGTGCACACAAAAACCAAGAAAAAATGTTGTCTACGAAGAGGAAGGAAGAAATTTATGAGCACGCTTTGCCGTCATTCACCTGTTTACAAGAACATTAGGATTTTTGTTTTGTATTTTATGTTGCAGTTGGTACAGCAAGCAGCATTTGTAATCCCTGACATACGCTACTGTAAGTGATCTGCTGATAAGCGTGTGAACTCTATTTATTATTGCTTACTGAAGGTTTTCTGAAACTTCTTTCATAATTGCCTTTTCACTTCCGTGAGTAATAACATCAGGACCACGACTAATCCAATATACATCTTAATTTGAAAAACATTTCCTTATTCAAGTTATAAGGTAGGAGATGCTTAGATTTTTTATGTCCGTACGTACGTCGGCCTAATAACTTTCGAAATATTAATGGATTTTTACAAAACTTCATGTGGATATCGTGGCAATAGTCACCCAACCATTATACTTGTACATTTCTTGTTATTAATAATACTAGTATGGCGGCCAGTGCGAACTTGTGAGGTGAAAGGGACACTAGATAGGTTTTAAAATATTATTGGTAAAGAACCTTTCGAAAATACAAAATCTTTGTTTAGGCAAAGTGTTTTATAATATAAATCAAGAACATGGTAGCTACTTCTTGTAGATATTTAGCGTTCCATTTGACGGCAATAACTGATGAAATTTTCGATGTATTCGTGTGTGCATGCCAGATGACATTCATCTTAATATTCGCATCCGTTAGAACCTAAAATATCAGAAATTTTACATAGTTGGAATTTTTACAATTGGAATTTATGTACAGAAGGTAAAGTGGGCTCCATAAATGTCCCTCAGAAATTCTTGTTGCTTGAAAATTTCTTGCCCAATTCAAATTTACGTATTATTATTTTTCTAACTTTCCAGAGTTCAATTTACGTAGTTTATGTTATGATGGACCCCATAAATAGCATTTCTTTACACAGTGTACACAGTAGACAGGAAAGCTGATGAACATTGTATGCGATTAGAGGCCTTCAGGTGTTCTGTTTTGTTGCAGGAGGATCTCCTGATACACGGAGATAGTGTTTATGACATCATCGACAAGCAGGATCACCAGGCCATCCAGACGGAGTTGGTGCGAAGCGCCACCGGGCCCGGCGACGAGGAACGGATGTTCCTATGTCGGATGAACGTTTCGAGAAACGCGCGCAGGCAAATGCGCTTCGGAGACCAAAAGGTAGGTCTCTCATATTTATTGTCTAGAGGGGAGTGAGGAGAACTTACGAGGTGACGGAGGTTCAGCTGTACGAGACAGAAAACTAGTTTTCCGACAACAAATCCTGAAGACCAACATAAATACCAAACACGTCATCGAACAGATTTTGAAAGTAGTCATTAAAGTTTACATCTTCACGGTGTGTTCATCTCAAATTTTAATATTATCCTTCCTTCTTTACTTCAGTGTCTCTCTGAGACATGTTCTTGAAGCGTCGATCACTCTGTTTCATAAAGTTGTTATGAACTTTTAATGAAGTATAAAGCATTTAATTCCACACTGTGGTTAGATATTTCGGGGATTCTGCCCTTAAAATGTGAGTCGATCAATTAGAGCAAGGACGTTTTTGTTAGTGCCCTGCCCGACGTCAATTCTTTGTCAATTTCAGTGAGCAATTCGGATTTCTGTGTGCCTTGCGCGATACTTGTTATTAAAGTTAGGACCAATGAACATTATCTTAGGGTGCATACAGCGAATCTCTGGGTGTT